GCACCTGCTCAAGTGCTTGGGATAGGCTAGCATCACAGAAGGGTACGCTCGTTGCTCTTGATGTTGCATGATTGTCAGCATTTCTAGCTGAGTGAAGGAACGAGAACACTGTAGGTTGGTTGACGGTCGGTGGGCTTGCAGCCTCTGGCGGATCACCTATGGTATAGTGCCGCCATTTCGCTTCAAAGTCAACTTGGTCAGATTTTAGTTGAACTCCGCGCTTGGCTCCTTGTTCTAACACTGAGCGGAGTAGGTCTTGATATTTGGCATAGACATCATGGATAGGAGGAGCCTCAGTATGACACGGCTGCCCATCGTTGCTTCCACTTACCCACGACTGCAATTGTAGATCAGTGCCTAATGCTGCATCAATAAGAGCAGGGTGAAAGCTGTTCCCACAAAAATCCCTGACCACTTTGTCAGTGAGGAGTGCTGGGCCATGCCTATCGACTGTCAATATGGCCTCAAGGCCGGAGAGTTTGCGCACTTCCTGCACACTGAGAATACGCATCGGGAGCGTTACATTTGGGTTGTGAAATATGGGAGCAAGCTGTTCAATGAGTTCATCCTTTGTGGGCGATGTTGATTTTGCGGCACATAGAACTGCTAGGAACTTTCTCCAGACTGGGAGAAAATGTGCTGGGACAATGCTAGCCCAAGGCAACTGAGGTATTTTCTTGTCACGAGTAAGTTGACATAACAGTGCAAATGACCTTTTTCCTCCAAAGAAGGTATAGTCCCACAGCAGGGCGCTGGGCTGATAGCCTGTCCAAGACAGTTTGAGGGCACCACCTACTGTATAATCTCTGGTCCTCAGTAAGGGCGCCAGTATTGTGGTTTCATTCGTGAGATAGATAAGTGGGCCCCAAACTTCGTTACCTGGAGTGATACCAGACGGGGGTACACCAGTATCGAGGTGACTACGCAGGAAGACTCTTTGTCTCCTGATTCCAAAAAAGGGACCAGTATCCCAGACCCATTGTTTAGTCGGTATCTGGCTGGGTAAGCCCAAGCAGTGAAGAAAGAGTTGAAAATGTTCAGACCGCTCTAGCGGATGCCCTGTTTTCGGATTTCCGTCCCCCTGCACAACTTGCATGCTGCCAGCGTTTTCAGCTAGATAACGTACCGACTTGAAGCCAAACAGCTTTTGGGTATGGCATAGTACCACATATACCACAAAGAAGAGCATGCTCCTTTTGCCTGTGAGGCCGAGTAGTCCATTCAAGTAGCCAGCATACGTTAGATCTTGACACGGGGAGCCAGAGATTAGCAGCCATTTAATCTCAGGGTACATTGCTTTGGCCTGCCTCAGTATTAGCGATTCTTTGTGGAGCAGATCCCACACGTCTTTAACATATATCGTAGCTACTCCTTCTGAGTTGTAACCCCAGTGTTGATCTTCTCGCATGCCTAATTCCGCTGAAACCAGTCGACGTAACACTGGGTCGTGCTCGGCAGCGATATAAACTGCAGGAGGCTTACCAAGTTTCTTTTTGATGATGTGGTAAACCGATCCAACACCATCAAACATGGAGATGATACCAACTCTGGCTGGGCCGGTTTCACCAAGGATAGTCATCGGTAGTCCCTCAGGGTCAATGGCAGTAAAAGAGGCAGGTTCACCTTCACTCTGGCTACGTTTCAGTTTACCTGACTTGGCCTTTTTTCCGTTCGAGTGAGATTTCCTCTTGTTGCTATATATTTGAACTTCCTGAGATGACATTCGCTCCTTATGCTTCTTTGGTGGCTTGAGAATCCCCTTGACCACTTTAAGCTGTTTCTTTGTGTAGCCTGCCGTATCCACGGCACCTGCCACTGTGATCAAGTCTTTTGTGGTTAGAATGGCTTTCGGTGATTTGACAGGGAGGATAAGCACACCTACAATAAAAAGTTTGCTATTGATTCTGCTGCTGTCAAGGACCCGGAGTCCATTGTTATGATCATAGGTTGTGACACTCCCCGTCTGTCCAGCCTGTACAATGAGCAATTGACTGTCTTGATCAATCCGATTTGTCGTAACCAAACAACAAATTTCATAGGTTCTTGTTTGAAAGGAGAATTGGTGGCCTAGCGGAAAGAGCCCAGCCTCAATTCTGGGGAGAGTCTCTCCTTGCTCTGCTTTTAGTCGGATCAGTGCCACAGGACCCAGTTTGAGACATCGGCCTGAGGCTTTCTCCAATTCAAGACATGGGCAGTCTTGTTTTTCTTTGATTTCTGCCATGTTCCACACAGGAGTCATTCGATGGAGCACGTCATCGATAGTAGTAGAAGAAGACACAGCTGCAACGAAAAGGTCAATTGACACTTGTAGATGACGTGTACAAACGTTGCATTGGTACTCATACTTGGTGAACAAAAAGGCTCTCGTGCTTTGGCTGAGATTTCCACACAAGGTAGCATACATCGCAAATACAGCATCAACTTGCGTAGCCTCATTTGGTGGTATATCATCTAAGGTGGCTAGTGAAACACTGGCATCAAAATGACTGAAGGGGAATGCAGTTGGGACCTGATTGACCCAGCTCCAGCCAACTCCCACTGCGGCCAGAGCGGCTTGTCTGACATGGACACTAATGTGTGATTGTATCCATGGGCCTTTTGACAATATGTAGAGGGCGGCGTTCAAATTAGAAAAGTGTTTACAATGGATCGCTAGCTGCTGGGCTCTAGCGGCAAGGAGCTGCTGGAGGTTAGGGTCAAAGTTCGGAAACCATTTTTCACTGGCATTCAGAAAGGGGGCAAGAGTTGTGAATTGAGCTGGCACAGCAGCCTCATCTCCTGTTCTGTCACTACTGCTTCCGATTAATCCTTCTTGTTCAATTGCTTCTTGATCTCCAGTGATATCAATACAAATTTGCGTATTGTCGTTGACTGACAATGTCGAGCTTTTCTTGAGGGCAGCATGTATAGGTGGCTCTCCGCCCTAATTACTAACAGCAGAACTTCGTGCTGGCTTTGTAATGCTGCGCAATGGTGCGCGTGACGGGTGGTCAGTCATCTGATCGATTGCTCCCTTTGTAGGCCGTACTTCAGGTAGAGCTGGTTCATGTCGACGAGCAGCAGAACTGGAAAGCACCCTGTCGTCATGGCATTTTCTTTGACTCGGGGGTGTAGCAGTGATAGGATCATTGTCCATTGGATCTCCTGGGCTAGGCTGAAGTCTGCGCGAGACACTTTCAGCTGGTGCAGAGACAGGGGAGATAGGGTCTGGTGACGGGGAGGAGGGTGCTCCTGGAGGGCATTCGGGACAAGGGCGTGGGTTGTTGCTAGGCCAACGTCGGATTCGGAAACTTCAGCGTCGGATTCGGAAACTCCCAGGCCCTCGGATTCGGAAACTCCCTCCCCCCCGGATTCGGAAACTTTAGCGTCGGATTCGGAAACTTCCAGGCCCTCGGATTCGGAAACTTCGAAGCCCACGGATTCGGAAACTCCCTGGCTCTCGGATTCGGAAACTTCCTGCCCCCCGGATTCGGAAACTTCGAAGCCCACGGATTCGGAAACTTCCAGGCCCTCGGATTCGGAAACTTGCTGCCCCCCGGATGCGGAAACTTCCTGGCCCTCGGATTCGGAAACTCCGAGCCCCCCGGATTCGGAAACTTCGAAGCTCACGGATTCGGAAACTTCCAGGCCCTCGGATTCGGAAACTTGCTGCCCCCCGGATTCGGAAACTTTGAAGCCCACGGATTCCGAAACTTCCAGACCCTCGGATTCGGAAACTTGCTGCCCCCCGGATTCGGAAACTTCGAAGCCCGCGGATTTGGAAACTTCCTGGCCCTCGGATTCGGAAACTTGCAGGCCCTCGGATTCGGAAACTTCAAGGCCCACGGATTCGGAAACTCCCAGGGTGTCGGATTCGGAAACTCGCTGCCCCCCGGATTCGGATGAGGACTACCATTGCATGCAGAGCTTTGGGGGGGGGAAGTTTAGAAAATGACTTGCAATCGTGACAAGAACTCTGTGAAAGGGAAGGATGTGCATTGAGGAATACCATTGCATGCAGAGCTTTGGGGGGGGAAGTTTAGAAAATGACTTGCAATCGTGACAAGAACTCTGTGAAAGGGAAGGTATGCATTGATGACTACTATTGCATGTAGGGCTTTGGGGGGGGAAGTTTAGAAAATGACTTGCAATGGTGACAAGAACTCTATGCAAGGGAAGGATTTGCATTGAGGAATACCATTGCATGCAGGGCTTTGGGGGGGGGGAAGTTTATAAAAAGACTTGCAACCGTGAGAAGGCAAGGGAAGGATGTGCATTGAGGAATACCATCGTATGCAGAGCTTTGGGGGGGGGAAGTTTAGAAAATGACTTGCAATGGTGACAAGAACTCTATGCAAGGGAAGGATGCGCATTCAGAAATACCATTGCATGCAGAGCTTTTCGGGGGGGAAGTTTAGAAAATGACTTGCAATCTTGACAAGAACTCTATGAAAGGGAAGGATGTGCATTGAGGAATACCATTGTATGCAGAGCTTTGGGGGGGGAAGTTTATAAAAATGACTTGCAACCGTGAGAAGAACTCTATGCAAGGGAAGGATGTGCATTGAGGACTACCATTGCATGCAGAGCTTTGGGGGGGGGAAGTTTAGAAAATGACTTGCAATCGTGACAAGAACTCTGTGAAAGGGAAGGATGTGCATTGAGGACTACCATTGCATGCAGAGCTTTGGGGGGGGGGAAGTTTAGAAAATGACTTGCAATCGTGACAAGAACTCTGTGAAAGGGAAGGATGTGCATTGAGGAATACCATTGCATGCAGAGCTTTTGGGGGGGAAGTTTAGAAAATGACTTGCAATCGTGACAAGAACTCTGTGAAAGGGAAGGTATGCATTGATGACTACTATTGCATGTAGGGCTTTGGGGGGGAAGTTTATAAAAAGACTTGCAACCGTGAGAAGAACTCTATGCAAGGGAAGGATGTGCATTGAGGAATACCATTGCATGCAGAGCTTTGGGGGGGGGAAGTTTAGAAAATGACTTGGAATCTTGATAAGAACTCTATGCAAGGCAAGGGAAGGATGCGGGACAGGGTGGAGTTGCTGAATCGGGACAGGGTGGAGTTGCTGAATCGGGACAGGGTGGAGTTGCTGAATCGGGACAGGGTGGAGTTGATGAATCGGGACAGGGTGGAGTTGCTGAATCGGGACAGGGTGGAGTTGCTGAATCGGGACAGGGTGGAGTTGCTGAATCGGGACAGGGTGGAGTTGCTGAATCGGGACAGGGTGGAGTTGCTGAATCGGGACAGGGGGGAGTTGCTGAATCGGGACAGGGTGGAGTTGCTGAATCGGGACAGGGTGGAGTTGCTGAATCGGGACAGGGTGGAGTTGCTGAATCGGGACAGGGTGGAGTTGCTGAATCGGGACAGGGCGGAGTTGCTGAATCGGGACAGGGTGGAGTTGCTGAATCGGGACAGGGTGGAGTTGCTGAATCGGGACAGGGTGGAGTTGCTGAATCGGGACAGGGTGGAGTTGCTGAATCGGGACAGGGTGGAGTTGCTGAATCGGGACAGGGTGGAGTTGCTGAATCGGGACAACCCGGAGTTTCTGAATCCTTGGAGTTTCTGAATCGGAGTTGCTGAATCGGAGTTGCTGAATCGAGTAAAGTTTCTGAATCGTAATTTATTCCTAATGACATACCATCAACTACTGCCCAGGCGCTATACAAAAGTTCAAAATAGACCTTAAAACCGGGGTCTAAGATCAAGTTGTATGGTTCTCTAGGTATGTCTGAAACATACGTTCAAAAACAGGCTAGGGTATCCACCGAAAAGGTCTAAGACATGTGACCCCCTACCCCAGAAGGAAAAAATTGGGGAAACCGTCAGAAGGAAAAATCAATATAGACCTCTGCACTGTGAGGTCTAAAATGGTTGGCTCAAAATGTCATGGACGTCAGCTTCGTGAAAGCGAAGCCAATCCATGCCAATCCCCAAATCATCGAAACAGCGTGTCATCTTTTTTTGCACTGTGATTGCGCAACACAAATGCAACAAAACCTGATCATGGTGTTTTTTTTGCTGTTTCCCTTTTGGATGCTGTTGTGTTTGCCAGACGCAGCTTAGAGAATTTTGGACTGGATGATTTCCCTTAATAATGCAGACGATCCTTGTTTGTTTTGAAGGTATGGCCTCACACCTGGGGGTCTGACATCATGTTGTGGATTCAAAGTTGGTATTATCCTAGGGTTTTGTGAAACAAGGATTTGATTTCAGACCCAGGTTGCTACCACAGTTTCCTTTCTGGAAGCGGTGCGGGACCACAGTGAGACGCGCAGTGCAGGTCTAGAATGATGTTCTTAATCCATATGATACAGCAGCAGAGCTGCTTTTATACAATACATTCATGGTAGACCCAATATATCTCAACATCTTTGTAAAATATATAGTTTTATATTTTATATCCAGAAACATCCAGAAACCTAATCAAGTTTTTTTGCTGTTTCCCTTTGGATGTTTTTGTGTCAGTGTTGGAAGTGTCGAGACTTGGACAAGGTTTGAGAATCTTTGGGGATGGCTTTGCATGTTGAGCGTGCAGCAACCGTGCATGAGGTGCATGTACATGCGTTTTTTTTCGGACACTGCGCGGGCCCACAGTGAGATGTCAAGGTCTAGAATTATATTCTTAGCGCATATGATACAGCAGCAGAGCTGCTTTTATACAATGCATTCATGATAGACCCAATATATCTCAACATCTTTGTAAAATATATAGTTTTATATTTTATATCCAGAAACATCCAGAACCCTGATCAAGTTGTTTTTTGCTGTTTCCCTTTGGATGTTGTTGTGTCAGTGTTGGAAGTGTCAAGATTTGAACAAGATGTGAGAATCTTTGGGGATGGCTTTGCATGTTGAGCGTGCAGCAACCGTGCATGAGGTGCATGTACGTGCGTTTTTTCGGACACTGCGCGGGCCCACAGTGAGATGTCAATGTCTAGAATTATATTCTCTTAGCGCATATGATACAGCAGCAGAGTGCTTTTATACAATGCATTCATGATAGACCCAATATATCTCAACATCTTTTTAAAATATAGTTTTATATTTTATATCCAGAAACATCCAGAAACCTGATAATTTTTTTGTTTTACTGTTTCCCTTTTGGACCTTTGGATGCTGTTGTGTTTGCGAGGCGCAGCTTGGAGAATTTTGAACTGGATGATTTCCCTTAATAATGCAGACGATCATTGTTTGTTTTGAAGGTATGGCCTCACACCTGGGGGTCTGACACCATGTTGTGGCTTCAAAGTTGGTATTATCCCAGGGTTTTGTGAAACAAGGATTTGATTTCAGACCCAGGTTGCTACCACAGTTTCCTTTCTGGAAGCGGTGCGGGGCCACAGTGAGACGCGCAGTGCAGGTCTAGAATGATGTTCTTAATCCATATGATGCAGCAGCAGAGCTGCTTTTATACAATACATTCATGGTAGACCCAATATATCTCAACATCTTTGTAAAATATATAGTTTTATATTTTATATCCAGAAACATCCAGAAACCTGATCAATTGTTTTGCTGTTTCCCTTTGGATGTTTTTGTGTCAGTCTTTGGGGATGTCTTCGTGAAACAACGTGTCACTCTTCTTTCAAAAGCTAAAAGTGATGTTTCGCAACTTGATGATTCCAACAAAATTGGACAACAGATGCAAGGGAACACACTGAAAAAGGGTGTTACACAGCGTCGCCACAGCATGAAGCCGCCCGATCACAGGGAACCCTTTGCTGACAGATTTATTTGACCGACCCCCCAAACGCATGTGCAGATTCAGCCAGGCAGACAAGGTCTAAGATCAAGTTATGTTAACATTGAGGCCAAAGGTCTAATATCATATTTGTTTTCGAAGATGGGTTATGTTGTAAAAACCTGAAGGTCTAACATCTTCCCAGCACGAAGGTCTATTATACTTCAGTAGGGACTGTAGACCTAGCTTAAAAAATTCCCTGAGCTACCGGCTACAGGGTAGAGTTGCTGAATCGGGACAGGTTGGAGTTGCTGAATCGGGACAGGGTGGAGTTGCTGAATCGGGAGAGGGTGGAGTTGCTGAATCGGGACAGGGTGGAGTTGCTGAATCGGAACAGGGTGGAGTTGCTGAATCGGGAGGGGGTGGAGTTGCTGAATCGGGACTGAATCGGGTGGAGTTGCTGAATCGGGACAGGGTGGAGTTGCTGAATCGGGACAGGGTGGAGTTGCTGAATCGGGACAGGGTGGAGTTGCTGAATCGGGAGAGGGTGGAGTTGCTGAATCGGGACAGGGTTGCTGAATCGGGACAGGGTGGAGTTGCTGAATCGGAACAGGGTGGAGTTGCTGAATCGGGACAGGGTGGAGTTGCTGAATCGGGACAGGGTGGAGTTGCTGAATCGGGACAGGGTGGAGTTGCTGAATCGGGACAGGGTGGAGTTGCTGAATCGGGACAGGGTGGAGTTGCTGAATCGGGACAGGGAGGAGTTGCTGAATCGGGACAGGGTGGAGTTGCTGAATCGGGACAGGGTGGAGTTGCTGAATCGGGACAGGGTGGAGTTGCTGAATCGGGACAGGGTGGAGTTGCTGAATCGGGACAGGGTGGAGTTGCTGAATCGGGACAGGGTGGAGTTGCTGAATCGGGACAACCCGGAGTTTCTGAATCCTTGGAGTTTCTGAATCGGAGTTGCTGAATCGGAGTTGCTGAATCGGGTAAAGTTTCTGAATCGTAATTTATTCGTTGTGGCTAGGTTGTCCATCCTGTACAGGGGGGGGAGTTCCGGCTCCTGGGTTCGCTTTATCAGGGGAACCAGCAATCTGTTTTTCTCGACCGAGTTTTCGGGTAGGGAGGGGATTTTTCTGGCTGCTTATCGAGCTTAGTGAAGCTTGAGTTCCTTTGCATTCTGGTGTGGACGGTGGATCAGGCTTGCATGGCAGCATTTCGTCACTGTCTTCATTATTAGCATTACATGGGTCAGCAATGAAATCGACCGCCATGCCACTATCAGGCATCCCCGATTGTTGTGGAGGTTGACTTACTGGTAGGTTTGTCCAAGTCATTGTGGGACTGATAGATAGGTTAGCCTTCTGAGCGCCACTTTGAGAGTGATGGTTACCCGGTTCCCTACCTGCCTTTGTGACCTCGTTGGCATTACCTTGGCTAGGGAGAAGATTCTTATTACAGCTAGGCACATCGCGGCATTCTGAATTAGTACTCCCAGAGCTAAGGTACGGATTGTTCTGATATGGTTGTATGTCATGCGGCAGCGGGGAGGGGGGGGCAGCAACATCAGGGGGGGTATAAGGAAGCGATTGAGGGGCATCCTTACAGCCTTCCGCGGGTACCGGGTTTTTGATGGTTGCCCCGCCTTGGCTCTGAGGAGCCCTGTCCTTTGTGGTGGGTCTCTGCTGCGAGGCTGCACAAGAGGCCTGTGGTGTTATTGGGTTGATAGGAGTACTGTTCAACTTTGTGTTGCTGGATGGCTCATAGCTCCAAACTTTGGAGACTACTAGTCGTGCTGTTGACGTGAGGAGCGTACGGTGGTCAAGCAAGGGTGGGACGAAAAGCATCAGTTGGCAGTCTTTAAATGGATAGATATGTAATGCGTCAACTTTAGTTAGATATGGTGCTTCTTCCGTACCTTCAACTCGGTTAATCTGGCACTGCTTACCTGATGGTAGTTGAAGTAGTAATATTCGCGCGTGTTTGGCTAGACTTTCACGGCGTTGACTAGAATGTGGAAGATAGGTACCGCTCTCTGCCTTAACTGTTTCGCATTGGCCAAACCGTGTAAGAAATACATCCAAGTACTCAGATTCTGGCAGCGAGTTAAGGAAAAGAATCCACGGGTACGTTTCCTCAGCATATGTGTATGAGACAGGTTGATTCAGGTAGTCCACATGTGATTCTTTCAGGAGCCCAAATCGCCTCTTTTGTGAGGAGTTCTGCGCACTGGCAGGTGCAATGACTGTGAGTCTGTTCTTATAACTAGGGTTAAGATGCTCTCCAACTCTTCGCCAATGTTCACCTTTCGTCTCATGTCGAGGTGGTTCTCCCGGAGCACCAGTTTGCGGCAGGATGCAACCACAATGTTCCACTGTAAACGAGAACTTCATGCCTTCTTTATCCGTAAAGGTATGATTGCATGGGAAGGAAAAGTTCAAATCTCGTGGGACCCAAAAGGTAATCATGGCAACGTTCGAATTATCGTCTTCTACAACGGTCTGAACCTCAAAGCGGGTAGCAGAAAACGTACTAGCAAGCGACAATCCCAATTCCGTATTGATGATGGGTTCCCCTTCGTCAATGCAGTCAATAACACTACTTTTAGCAATCTGCAGTGGGATAAGCGGCATACTGCCAACGGGCGAATAAGTAACTTCCATTTCGTACCATTTTCCTCTGATAGCCTTAATGTTTCCGAGGGAGACTTGTGACGACTGTTGACGCTGTCCAAATGGAAGGTATGTAGTAGTGCAATGGAGCAGATTTCTCAGGATTTCAATGTCAATACCTTCAAGCTTAAGTATGATTTGTGCCTTAGAGAGGAAATAAAATTTAATCCGATAAGACATGAGCTCTGATGCAAGTGACGTCCTCTCCTGGTCGTTTAGGTGCCGAGTGGACATAACTGTGAAATTGTCAGTCTCTTTCAATTTATGTAGTCTATGCCAATCTGGACCTTCCTTAATTTGAAACTGTGTGTCCTGAAGGACACTAGTTTCTTTCATCAGTGACTCTATGACTTCGCGCACCTTAAGCTTTTGAAGGGATGAGTTCTGTTGATATTTAATAGTCAGTGGTATACTCCCTTTGGATCTGTCGGAGTTATAACATCCATTGGGAGCAGTGCTGGTTTCCATAATTCCAGGGAGGTATCCATGCCGTAATTCCTTTCCATCAGGTAACTCATAGGCAATACGGGCAGGAAGTATTAACTCATCACTCAAAGTATCTGGGACTTTCCAGATGATAGTAGGGCGGTTGTTGTCAAGGTAGTTCATGGTAACCAAGTAGAGAACTGTTGGGTACTTTTGGTATTTGATAGGTTCAGTGAGTTGTCTGATTTCCCTTATTGCAGGTATGTATTTGTTGCAAGTGTCAAAAGTCTTGGCCGCAATTTCAGCAGGTCCTGTATTGGCATGACACTCAAATATAAAGATAGCCGTTTGCTGCACAGAATAAAGTGTACGCATGACACTTTGAGCTGCACCAAAGGATGGGAAAGCGTACGCAGTAGTCTCACTTTTGGCAATCTGGGAATGCAACTGATCATATGTAGTGAGCAAGATACCTTCAGGTGCATTGATCTTGCTCGGATAATGTACCATTAAGGTTGCTTGGATTCCGAGCTCATTGAGTCCATCAGCTGCTGCCTGTTGAGCTTCAGCATGTTCAGACATAATAGATACAGGGGCACAGTAGGGAGAAGGAGGGAGTGACGCAGCGAGAGGGAGAAGAGGGAGGAGGAGTGAAAAGGGGGGTGATCTAAACCTCGAGTGGGAATCCTCGCACGTCTGCGGACAGACACACCCACAATCCACCAAAAAAGACAAAAACACCAAAACCAACCAAACAACCAAACCAAACAAAAAGGGGGGGGGAGAATTCAAGAAGCCAAAGAGTACAAGTGCACCTGTCACGTCTATGGACAGACACACCAGTACAGGTAAATAACCAAAACAGAGAAAGAAGAAGCGAAACAGGCCACAAACACGGAGAGAAAAGAGAGAGTACAAGTGCACCTGTCACGTCTATGGACAGACACATCAGTACGGGGGAGACGATCGAGAAAACAGACCAAAGAGAGTGACAAAGGAAGCGCAATGCAGTGAAGGTAGAAGAAGGAGTACGAGTGCACCTGTCTCGTCTATGGACAGACACACAAGTACGAAATCTTGGTAGACGGTGTTAGAGGCTCGCACCAGTCGAAGGAACGTCAAATAAACAAAGCTTTCGTGCAGTGTTCCTGGAACTTAGTGAATAAAAATTCAGTACAGAAAAAACGGACCTTAGTTGCGCAGTATAGATAAGAAAAAAAAAGTACACGTGCACCTGTCACGTCTATGGACAGACACAAAGGTACAGTATGTCACTAAGAAGTTAGTAAAAGTGAAAATAGTTTCGTGCAGTATTCCTGGACCTTAGCGAGTAAAAGTTCTGTGCAAAAAATCTGGACCTTAGTTGTGCAGTAGGGATACAGTGTGCAAAAAACTGGACCTTAGTTGTGCAGGAAGAGTACGAGTGCACCTGTCAGGTCTATGGACAGACACACAAGTACGAAAACTAAGTGCAAACGCAAAAAAGTAATGAATTGAGGGTGAGAAACGAGTGCACCTGTCACGTCTATGGACAGATACACAAGTAAGATCCAAAAAACTGAAGAAATTAAGCTCGATGCCCAATCAAGCAAAACAAAACTGGCAAAATTTTCAGAGGTGGCAACGCTAAGAGAAACAGAAGACCCTGAAACTCAAGATACAAGTAATTCAACTTAAGCAACCACGCAAAAAACCAGGGTGTCCACTCACGACAGGGAGAATCGAGCACGGCACGCTTGAACACCCGAGTGCAAGGAGAACCCCTTACTGCCCGAACTGCTACACCTGCAGTTGGCACTCACCCCCACTACTTGTGAGTGCGGCTACCAACTGTTTGAACCGAGAGGGGCTTGAGCCAATGGGCTTGAGCCAAAGGCTACGGATTGGTTCCAAATTGGTTCCTACCTGGTTCCTATAGGTTCCTATGGGTTCTCTAGTTCACAGATCGGTTCCTACAAACTTAAAATGGTTTCCTAACTGTTCACCTGCACATACATTGTTCCAAGATAGGTTTTAAGATGTTCAAGTTTCAAGGTGGTTCAGTACAATGTACATCCTCTCACGTTCACACAAAAAGGTCTTCGCATGACGCAAGTGGATCAAAGTTAGGCATTGTTTGACCTCAATTTTCAACGCAACTGGGGAGGACCGAATTGGAGTCCAAGGCCAATGTTTTACACCTCCGAAAATGAGATTCTGCAGTGACCTTTTTTTGCCAAAACCGGCGCAGCTTTGACAACAGCAGCACTTTTGCAAGTCCAGAAGGCACCACAGTGTCCTACTGCCATCAATCATTGCTAAGGGACTCCAACAACAGTATCGATAGATTCGAGTCCCCGTGAGCCTCGCTTTGTCCTCGTGCCTCGGGCAGGCCTCGGTAAGCCTTGGAGCGCCTCGAATGCCAACAAACCTGCTTCATCATGGCCCCTAAAACAGGGCCCAAAAAAGTGTTTTTTTTTTCCGTCCAACGCCTTCATGGCTTCCGCCAGGTCGTTACAAACGTTCGATTGTAGCAAAAGATGAATTGAGATTATCGTGCAGGGCTGTCGATAGTCGATAGCCACAAAAGTGCTGGTAATGGACTTGTACGCAGTCCAATATGCAATCACAGCAAGAAACCAAAAACCCAAAACAAAACCCGGAAACAAAAGCAAACCAACCAAAAACAACCCAACAAAAAGAACACCAGGAAGTGGGATTGCAACCAGCGATAGGGATTCATACATGGTGACATCTTGTGTGTCATGACGAAAATGGCTCCCAACAGGAAGCAAAACAATCAACACGACAAAATCACCAGGGGCCAAATCATTGGGTGTACTGAGGAGGTACACACATTAGTCTCCAGCATCACAATATTTTCCGAGGCTTGAATTGGATTCAATGAGCTCCCCCCCTGCCCCTAACGCCACTGTTGACACAGATATAAGCAGCCATGTCTGAACCAACAAATTGAGAAGGCCGGCGGAGTAATTCCAAGAGGCGTCCACATGCTTCAGCCAATAGAGAAGATGTGGAGTAAATATGGAGTAGACCATCCGCGGAGTAAAAAAAGCAGAAATATATGGCAGGGCCAATACAAAATGCGTGGAGTAATTTCGGCCCGTTTTAAGAATACACTGTTATTTATGGTGGACTAGAATTACTCCACGGCCAGTTCAAGCAGGAAGAAACACACACAGACACACCAGGCGTTAAGAGTCTACGGGGGTGAAGGGGTTGGACGCCGTACTACTCCCTGACATCTCATAGCCGAGCCTTCACGCTTGGGTTCTGCCACTTCTGCAACTTTTGAAATGTCGGCGGCACTCGGCCTGGCAGGACATTGTCAACCTTCAGGCGACCTGTAACATCATCATATGGTCTCTTCTACTTAGCGTATGAAGCTGCAACGCGCCGGTGCGGGATCTATCTAAGAGGCCTCCCGTTTGCACAACATCCAACATTGAAATTCTGGGGCAAGGGGAGACACATTGAGTAAAGATGAAATCTAAAGCCAGCAGCCAGACTACAGACACAGTAGTTGCTGAATGGCAAACTTCCTGTGAGACACATGGACCTGCCATTCTCTCTCAAACATTGATGTCTGTACTAAAGCTTCCGGCAACATAAGAAAGCATCAACCCAACGGGAAAAGACTAGAGAAAAGCACGTTGGCTGCCAGTACTC